AAGTCAGGGCATGGCTAACTCACAGATAGAACCCTGAAAGAAACTCTGGGCTGATCTAAGTCAGGATATGGCTGACTCACAGATAGACCCTGAAACAACCTCTGGGCTGATCTAAGTCAGGGTATGGCTAACTCACAGATCAAAGCCTGAAATAACCTCTGGGCTGATCTATGTCAGGGTATGGCTAACTCACAGATCAAAGCCTGAAACAACCTCTGGGCTGATCTAAGTAAGGGTATGGCTAACTCACAGATCAAACCCTGAAAGAACCTCTGGGCTGATCTAACTCAGCTAACACACGTACAGATTGAACCCTGAAGCAATCTCTGAGCTGATCTAAGTCAGAGCACGGCTGACTCACAGAACAATGAAATCATTTATAAATATTTGAAATTCTTTATTTTTGTATTACTATTTTCCTAGATGGATCCCCAAAATGAAGAGACTATATTCCCTCTTGATGAGGTAAAGTAAGTTGTGCGTAGAGTTAAGGTGRCTTCATCATGGCGCTGTCTATGTTTATGCATCCCAGAAAATGTTATACCTTAAATCCAAATTTAAACTTGATGAAGATACTTTTAGGTATACAATTTAGTAAAAAAACTAGTTGTAAAAGACAACGTTTTACTGTCATCTCGACAGCATCCTCAATCAATCAATCAATGTACTGCTCATTTCTCCTAGAGAAACATTCAGCTCTCACTCTACTCGAGTAAGTTCTACTACTTTGAAGCCAAGCTATTATGTTTGCGCCTAAAGCAATCTTTCAGAATCTGTGATGGTTGATATTCCTGAAATCTTTGGTAGATTGTTCTTATTAATGTTTTATTGGACAACCTTTTCTTTTGTTGCTTGTATCTATAAAAGTTAGCTTCTTGATATATCTGCAGTTTGAGGAGCGTATTATATGTGCAAACCATTTTAGTYGTTGTTTCACGACATAGTCCTTCAAGGGAGTTGCTCTAGCATATTCAGTTCCAATGAAAAGTCATTCAAGTTCATTAGACCTGATGATGTTTGCGAGATGACAGCAAAACGTTGTCTTTTACAACTAGTTTTCTTACTAAATTCATATTTAACGAATTATTTTTCTCTCCTTTTTATCAGCACATTCTGGTTTTAAAAGCGACTTCCCAGGTAATAAAGAAGTTGTTATAGACAATTAAATTTTGACTTTAACTCTAATTAATTCCGCAGTTATTAATTATTGCTAATTTTAAATAACAATTCCCAAAATATTTAATAGATAACATTTTGAAGCTTCAAACATCATTATGTCAAAATTATGATACCCCTTGATGGGGAGGTATCGATGTTTTCTGGAATTACACAATATACATGTACCTTCCTCAAACCCTCCCCACCCCTGGAAATTCCAATCCCCTTCCATGTGGGAGAAATGGATATTTTCTGGAACTACACAATATACCCTCCTCAAACCCTCCACACCACCTGGAAATTCCAATCCCCTTCCATGTGGGAGAAATGGATATTTTCTGGAACTACACAATATACCCTCCTCAAACCCTCC